TGTCTTTATGAAAATTCAGATTTGGATATAATTTATGCCAAAGGACTTCGAAATGGCACTATAATTAAATACGTAACATTATTCTGACTATTATATTATCGACTGCAGTGGAATCTCGATTTATCGATTTAAAGGGCGATAAAAGAATGATAAATGTACAGAAACGATAAAGGCAGGAAACTAATATATATAGGAAAGGCGAAAAATAGTGCTATTCGCAGTATCACAAATTTATTTAAACTAACAATGGAAAATATTTGTTAATATTGCGATTTGAGGTGAATATGTCTGAGTTTCGAGCAGCAGTCAAATGAATATAAGGGTGCAATACTAATTAATTAACGTGAGCAGGAAATGCGAACAAAAAACGCCACGAGTCTCTCACATGAACAAAAGAGTGCTGTGCGAAAAATCCATGTGTGATATCCTAGACCATCTCTATGAGCAAAATGACAAGAAACATACGTCGTCATGTGGATTAGTATATTGATGAACCTGGTAATCATTTTTAGAATTTTTTGCAAAAGGACACTTCGTTCCTTCCTTTTAACGCTACGGGTAATAAGAGTAGTGGCTATGGGTTAGTACTTTTGTAGACCTATACAACAATAAAATAAATAAGCTGTAAAATATAGGCATGCTAATTTTACTGCGAGCTAATAACATTTATTTCTTTCAACATGAACTTAATAATAGTATTTTAACAGTAAACTATTTTTTAACAAATAACGCAGCTTACGAATATGGCTTTTTTTTAAACATTTTCCCTAAATTGAAATACAGTTTGAATTTACGATAACGACTTTGGACTATATTTTCCCTAAATTGAAATATGATTTTTAATGTTTCAAATATTTTCTCGGTCCGCGTCGCTTCTGATTGGAGCACAAAGAAAGGTTTCAACAGTTTACCAAGCTTTGTAAGCCTGCGTGAAGTTGGACACCGTCTTTTGCTGATTGTTCTTCCTCTTTCTCCCTGTATTATAGACTCGTACTAGAAACTAATTCTGAAACACCCCCAACACTAACTAAAAAAGCAACGAAAACCCACAGACATAAACGTACTTGACATAAATCTTGCAAAAAATATCACGAAGAAATAAGGCTAATAGCGCGAGCGCAGAGTTCAGCACAGCCCGAATTTCTACTCAGAAGGGAATATAACGCAAATAATAATTGGGACTTTCAAGTAATTTTTATAAACGGTCTATGGGAAATAAGGCGCCGTGAGTTTTGCGAACGATCAGTACAATAAATCTATAGTCTAAAAAACAGCGGATGTAAAAGAAAAAAAAATTATACAGAGCTTCATTCAGGACCAAAAAGGGAGGACAATGATACACGTAAAAACGACATTCGGAAGTTCCGCTGTATTAGATAATTCAGACAGAAGTCGTACTGCTTGGTGGTCATATGATAAATTGTTCAGAATGCGTAAGACGAGATGCTCACAGACAGATGCGCTGCTTAACAAGAAAAATAACAGTGTCTAGAAGCTTCTCCTAATTTCATGTTGGCTGCAGCATAGAAATGTTTTACAGTTTTGTCATTTCGCGACACCGTAGACGACGCTCAAGACAACTTCACAATGGGAATTGAGTCTTGGCGGCGGCCGACAAAATGGCGCCAGTGTGCAACACGCGCGTGTGATAATCCTTGGCATACGCTCAAGGAGAGAAGATGCAAGTTACGTGGAGAATGTATCCTCTTACTCTTCTTACACATAATTATCTTCAGGGTAACATCTTAGGAATCACTTTCAGGAAATTCTTTTACTCTTAATCATCTCGGGGAGGATAATGTCGTTCTTCCCCGAGATGCGATCTTAGAGACCGCTGACATAATTTAGACCCATTTAAAAGTAAAACATTAAAAAATACAGACAATCGAATTACACAAGCACGTTTATTTATTACTTTTTTTGTACGCAAAAAATGTTAGTACCATGAAAATGATATCGAAAACTTTATGGTTTTGACAGAAACATCATTTAAAAAAAAAGCTATGGAAGAGCAATTGAATTAGCAAGACGACTCATGTATATTAATAAGTAATAATGCAGAGGCTGTAGATAGAGATTTAGTTGTGAATTTTAATTTTATTTGTTTAACGCCAGTTTTTATGATTTTACATTTTCTTTTGCACATGTGTCGTGTATTATGTTTAGGTTTGGTGGACCGAAGGGTTTTTTTCCCACCAGTCATATTTATTAGTTCAAAGGGGCCTTTGTCCCTGAAGGACCATTGTTTTTGTTTTGCGATTTTGCGTTGAAAATTTTGAAAGTATCACTTTTCAAATCGTTCCCACCAACTATTATCACCATGTATTATATTTGAAGAAATTAAATAATGAAGAATTTGCATAAACCCACGTAGGTTTCTCGCATTGTGATAAAACAACGGTACCTAGAGCCACCCAATTTTGAATGAAGTAATCCTAAAATGGCATTGAATGAAATGGGCATCTGAAAGCCCAAATTTGAAATTTGTCTTTTGTTTTATCATCGATTTCATACTTTGTAAAACTTTAACGAATTTTTGATTAACAAACTAAACGATTTCAAAGCGAGCAATGGCAACACTTTACGGGGGGAAAAAAACTTTTTATCTCCATCGCGTGGAAACTGTGTATCGGAAATTCTAAAGAAAGGCTCATTTTAAAATTATTTTGCGACAATGCTATCGATTTTATGGTTTAAGTGCCAAGAACATGATATTTAATAAATAAAGGTAACACACAAACGTCAAAAAACACCCCTTTGGACGTAATTTAAAATCAGAAATCTTTCAGATTTTTTTATTTATGTGTCCGTTGTTGGAAGGGAAGGTCTTATGGCTGAACATATTTCGGCTAGGTGGACTAGGGCTGCGACCATAATTATATAATTGCCATAAAATATATTATTATCATTTTATATCATGAAAAAATAATAACTAAATTTTTAATTATTTCACTCATAATTTCCGCATTGAGGATAATGTTGCTATTATAACGGAAACACTTCTCATAAATTAAATTAAACGCAAAATGGGGCTGATTTATGAAGTAGGGCGCCCACGATTTAGATTTTTTAAAAGGCCCTCATCCTAAGACACAGGGTATATTTATTTACCTTTTTACATTAATAAACCATTAGGGAGGATTTTGTTGGGTTTATAGGTGTTTATTTCCTTCATTATTTCGTACACTTTTTAACTCTGAATTCACTGATTGGCGTTGAAACTGCAAAAATGCTCAAGTAGAACCAATGCTATGGGCCGATACTCACGTACCGGGCTTTAGTCATAGTTCTTGTCTTAAAGTTTGAAACGTTTGATGATTTTTCGTCGAGTAAATGACTCTCTAGGATTTTCCGGAAAACTCATTTTCGAAATCCTATAAGGGATTTTCTGGAAGGTTTCAGAAGCTCTTATCCTCCCTTTGAAGAAGTTTAAAATATGAAGCTATATCAGATATTGTAGCTAGTTTAATCCAGATTTTTCAGGGGTGTAACTGTTTTGCTAGCGAGCGTCTCGCTCAAGACTGCTGTACGAGAGACTGTGATGACCTGCGAAATCTCTGGCTGGTTAAAAGCCTCAATCACTGGTGCTAAGTCTAAATCACAGTTTCTTTTCCTCCTAGCTAATTTATTGCTTGTAAGAATTGGTATTTATCGAAAAAGTGCTTTAGGTTTTTCCTGTTCGTCTGGATACTTAGGGAGACAACGAATGAATCCCTAGAGTGTAATAATATTATCACTTCTCGATCTCAGAAATATGAATTATAAGCAGATTGAATTTATTTTTTTAAATACCAGAACATAAACATAACATAGACATAAACTATTCTATTGTTTATCTATGCTATAAAACGCCAACTAATTAAAATGTTATTATCATTTAATAATAACACACAAAAACGGGTTATTGGGAATTTTTAGCACCCAGCTTCTTAATCAAAGGAACCTAAATGACTAAAGAGAAATCTATCAGCATACTTGAAATAATAATTTACGATATCTGGAGTTAAAATATATGGTCGAAAAAAGTGATTTTACCCGCCTCATCTATGATCTATCAAAACCATATAACCGAACTTAAAGAATTTGTAACCTAGAAATTGTTATTTTAAGCCATTTTGGGCTAAATAAGCGGCCGAAAAATATTAACTGTAATCTCATATTCAGGTATACTTTCCAAAATCTTAAAGGAAAATGAGATTTATATTTTTAATAATTTTTTATTGAATGGTTATGATCATCAGCTTTTGAAATTCCTTTTATTATTAGAAAATATACGAGGAGTACCTGTCTAGAGAGCAATTTAATTAACAAGGAAAACTATTGGATTTCCCAACAAAATCGCCACGAAACTTTCAGGGGTGATCGAGCACGTGAAAGAAACAAGGATTACAAAGTACGGCATTTTGCAATGCTTCGTAACCTAGAAAACAGGCATATGAAGTGGCCTGCAAGCACTCAGCATTTGCAGCCACAGATTTGGCAAATGTAATGCATAGACGCGTTTTTAAACGTCTTTGAGTTACACTCAGCATCACTGTACGAAGGTAGGACAATCCCCGTACGAAATAAGACGAAAACGACCACTACGTGGGCGTATTTCTTTTGCTTAAATAATGTAATGCATTGCACGGTTTGTTCGACCGCTAACAAATAGTGTTTGAGTGAGTAAATAAGTAGTTGTATTATTAGTCTATTAGCTAGTCAGTATGTTGAGAGTTCCCCTTTTTTACTGATTTTATAGTACGAAAATCGAGACGTAAAAATTATGCGACTAATTTAATTTTGAAGAATGTGCTGACACGATAAGAATATAACAAAGGTAAGAATGTTTGTGTTATTGTAAGAACATAACAAATAAAAAGTGTTCCTGGATAAACTACCGATAACTATTATAATATCACTTAGTTAAAAGAAGCCTACATTGAAACAATAATGCAAAGTAATATTAACATTACGCTATCTAGTTAGATATCTTCATTTCTTCTTTCAGGTACATTTAATCTGCCCAGCTCTTATTGATGTCCACTCCTACTGCGGCGGCTTCAAATCGTTTAATGTTGCTGGAACGGCTGTCCGTGTCATCTGTTACATCTTTTAAGTCGTCACCAATGTCATCGTCTTTGTCACCGCTCGGTATGTCTTCCCACGTGAAGTGATCTTCAGAATTTATCAAGAGCATTAGATATCCCCTTTTTTTCACACTCTTTACTATTATTAGTTCATCAATCAGAACTCAGGCACTCGAACTATATCAATTAGTAAGGCGAAAACGACCATTATGTGAACAAATCCCTTGTAAAATGTAGGAAAACTCGCTTTATGAAAAGATGAAATTACGGGATAATTAAACACTTCACCGTCCTACGAAATTCAAATAACTTTATCTTTCTTTTTTTCTAAAGATAAACTTTCGCACCTGAAATTAGCCTTAGAAATATCTCTTCCTTTTCATCAGCTCTCAAGATCTATTAGAAAACCGCCTTTTCGTCTCCCTACCCAGGGAAAAATTTAGAAAATCGCAAAAGGGGAAGTATATAAGGTATTTCTCCCACTTCCCTAGCGTGCCCTTGTGGTGTAACGGTAGCACGCTGGGCCGGTATTCCAGAGATCCGTGGTTCGATTCCCGGCGAAGGCGGTTGCATATTTTTCATCTTTTCTGCTTTCAATTAACCTAATGACTCTACAATGTGCCCCAGTTTACCCAGTTCTTTGGAAGCCCCAGTTTTGAATTTCGAATTCTTTTAATTATTTTTTCATATATCATAAAAGTTTAAGGAATTTTTTTGATTAACAAACTCAACGACTCGGAAGCGAGCAGTGGCAACACTTCGAAATAAAATATTTTTATCTCCAGTGAGCAACACTGTTGCCATTCGGAAAAGCATAAGATATTTATTTTGTTAGTTTTAATTAACAATCTAAGGTTTACGAAAGCAATTTATTGCCTTGACCGGAAATAAAATACTTTTAGCTTTTACGCGCCAGCGTGTTTCAGTTCAGCAAAACCTAAGATACTTTCAAATTTTATCTGGAAGGTTATTGAGCAATAAACTAAGCTATTTAAAAGCAATAAAAGCAGTTCTTAAGGCTAGTTTTTCTACTTTTTTAATGTGGTTGATTTAAATAAACATGTATTAAACTGAGATGTCTAATTAGAAATATCCAATATTTGTTCGAAATTACACTAGCTGCGCTCATTAAAATCATTATATACTTTACTTTTTCATGATAACTATTTTAGGCGGTTGGCCGCGTGTGCAGCTAGCTTTTAAAGAAATAATAATATAGTGAATATGAAAATATGTTTGGCAACCTCTAACAATATATCGGGAATTCTAAAGATATAGTGTTTTTAAATATTTTGTAATTCTGTTGTTGAATCGTATATGGCGCAAGTGCGAAGAAAATGATGCTTAATATTACAGCTAAAAAAGACAAGAAGAAATACGTTAGCAGGCTGGTAGACTGCAAACTCAGCGAGAGCCTAAAAAAAGTCCTATGGGGCTACCGTTAAAATATGAACCCTTTGAGATTTCTTTTATTTATATTTATATTTATGTATACCTATTTTTGTCGACAGTTTCTAGGGCAACACTTACTCAAAACTTACCATGGTCCCATCTCTACTTTATAACGCAAAACTTATTTTCGTAAAATTTGGTTAAAAGGTTAAAAAGTATTCTTGTTAAAGTGGTGAAAAATTGAAACTTATCTGTTACCGGCGACGGCACAAGAGCGCACATGAGGAGACAGTTGGAACACGTGCGATTGCATTCTCAATTACGGCAAGAAACACGCAACCTGGCGTGCAGTAAGCCATAACGCCAATCAGAAAACTTCCTAATCCTCCATTAAACGTTTCATCCCCTCCCTTTCTCGAAGAACAAACATTTACGGGCGAAATTTTCAGACCAGTCAGCACACGCGCGTGTTAGATACACACCGTGGGAGTTTCAAACGGAGAACCTTGAAATGAACTAAGCGAACAAAATAAATAGCCATTCAAATTAGGTCGTTACGTAACTCTCTCTGAGTTTCTCGCTGGAAACAAAGCGTCGAAAAAAGAAGCAATACATCAGTTGAGTAACACCGTTTCATAAGAAGCAAGGCCGATCCCATTCTGATGCGGTTCGAATGCGAGCGTTCGTATGCTAATGCGATTGATTCAACAACGAGTTTCTTTCTTTATTATATACCTCTTATTCTTTTTTCTATTTTTAATTTTTTGGCTCTCTTGCGTGGTTTCAGTTATCAGAACTGAAATGGAGTTCTTTGTAATAATTTGGTCAAGGTTATTATTTAGCTGCATTACTTACGTAATGATAAAATAGGAAAATGGGGTGGTTACGTTACGTTGTAAATGCAGATATAGTTACGAAAATAACGATTTGGTTGCTTAAAACGTAATTAGTTTCTAAATACGCAAACGCACAGGTAAAATAAATAAGCAAATAATAAATCTCTTACTTGCTTTATTAATTTTACTACTGGTTTCATTGAAAGAAATGCTCAGATCAAGTGAGGTTCGAATAATAGATTTGTTCAGCTAATTGATTTTCACACTATAAAATAATTGTTTCTAGTATACCCTTAAGGAATATCGTCGCGCGTTTTTAACTGAACGCAATTTTTTTAAGCAGATAGCATTTTACTTAGACGTAAACTATTTTACCAGTGAAATGGAAACACAAATATGCATTAACACTAAATACAGATAAATGATTTTACTAATTTTTATTAATTTTCACATTTTAGAGATAAAAATTACGGAACTTTTGCAAGGTCAATCGCAGGCTAAGTAATTCTGGCCATATCACCCTCCCAAAGAAAGGAAAGCGGGAAAGACTTCTTCTGAATAATAGTAGTATTACTGAAAGCAAACATTATCACATTTAAGAGATTTTTTAATTACTTACATGTTCAAGTAAAATCTCTCCAAAGCGACCTATCACAATTATAGACTACGACGTGTGTAATTAAAGTAACGAGACTATATAAAGCGTAGTGTTCGATCTGGCAACACTGTGTACTGCACCTTTGTGGTGGTGAAAAAGGTGACGGAACATTCGATGCACAGCCAGTATAAGTTTAAGCTGCTAAAGTCAGTAGGACCTTTTTTTTTAAAACTGTCTTTTTCTAGTGATTTCTGAAAATGAGTGATATCAGTTTCAAGTTAATGATGTGCTATCAGATTTGAGCACTTTTGCAAAGCTCCAATAAATGCTTAGAAAATGTTTTTTCAATGTTTTTTACAATGTAGAGAAAAAAGTTTTTCAAAGGTCCTGGGTTTTAGGTGGGCTAAGGCATTTTCAGAAGGAAAGAAATCCAATGCAGACGAACCTCATCAGAGAAGGCATTTACCAGCTGACGAAAATGTTGTTAGAATTCGGGACGTTGTGCGCTCTGATCGTCCCTCGACAATCAGAAGAGTTGAATCACATCATTATAAATTAGATTTTGAGAAATGCATTGGGAATAAGAAAAATCTGTGCGAAAATTGTTCCAAAAAATTTTCGCAGGAAACAAAAGAAGAATATAAAGGACAAGCGCCTTGATTATTTGTAGCGTACTGAAAATGATCCTCATTTTCTGGAACATGTTACTACTGATGACGAGTCTTGGGTATTCAAGTGTGATTCAAAAGCACCAGAGCCAGGAATGTAACACCTGAACTCGTTAAGACCATAAAAAGCAAGAATAAGCAAGTCGAACATAAAAATCATGCTGATTTACTTTTCCGATTGCAAAGAAGTAATCCACAATGAGTATGTGCCTCCAGGCAAAACGGTTGACGTTTTGCAGACAAGACGTTTTTGAAAGACTTCAAAAAAAAAAAAAAAAAAAAAAGAGTGATGCGTGTGTTGTCAAGATTCAAGACCAACTGAGAAGGAGATTTTGGCAAATAGAAACATCCCTGTGGGTCTTCAGCCCCTTTATTACCCCAACTTGAGTTCATATGCAAATGTTTTTTCTGTTCCCAAAATTGAAATCGTACCTGTCATTTCGGGACAGTAGAAAACATAGTAGAGTCTTCTTACGTGTTTTTAGGAACACAAACTGTAGACCCCACTGAAAGACGAAGTAGTGAATTCTCGCTATATCTTAAATAAACAGATGACTGCAGATGAAGGTTATAACAGCCTTTTATTTTAACTAAACGGATACATATAAAGTAGATTGTCTGTTTGTTTGTTCGCATTATTAATTTCGGATCAATTATGATCAATTATGGTATAATGGGAGAGAATACGTTTATTTTTCTATCAAAATTGTTTATGTGGGTTCCATTGAAAAATGTATGACATATTTTTTGCATCGTTATTACAGAAGGATTACAGCGTTATCTTTCTCTCTGTTGTTAGAGGCATTACTGTCAATCTAACTTGACTGGCATCGGGTACATCGGATGTTTCGCAAAATATGTATATATAATGGAGAATGTTTGTTTATTTGTTCTCGTTATTGATTTCTAATTAATTACGATAAACATTTTGCCACATTTAATCGACTTAAATTGAATATGAGTGAAATACTGGATGGAACTTAAGCTTTTATGACCATTTTATTAGAAAGACGAAAATTATTACCAACTGCGTGCCATGGGTGTTGAGGTGAAGATATAATGAGAGCGAATTAGCTTATTTTTCTAACGAAATTTTTTATGTGGGTTCCATATTGCATCAAACTGAAAAATGTATTGTTGCGTTTTTTTCTTTCTGACACCAGTTATTACGATATTTTCTTCCTTCACGTTCGTACGGGGTTCGTAAATTTAGAGTGAATAACAATGACACTTGATGAAGTATCGAAACACACTTTATTTAGCCAATATTAATCAGGACAGCTCCAATAAACATTTCACAGTCGCCGAAGATCTACTACAAACACGCTGGAACAATTAGCGACATTGTCAGGCAATACCGGTGGAGACAGCTTCCTGCAAAGCACCCGACTCTGCTTTCCGGAGTACAGCTCCAGACTCTGCTTGGTCGTTCTTGGAACTACACGTACTCTCGAGACTCTCCGCGCGTTGCACTCGACGATACTCAGAGCACAGCTCCCGGAGCTTAACACGCTCTCTCGACGATGCCCTAACCACGATACGCTAACAGACTTCTTTCGGTGAACTCTAC